TCTCCACATAACTCTTTGCTCCTGCAAAAAAAAAAAACAAAAAAAAGCAGCTCTCCACCTGACCTCAGTCCCGGGCAACTGCATCCCAGCTCGCCACATTTACAGACAATTCTATTGTGCCGATCTATGTCGCACACACATACATGCACAAATACAAATCACATACAACGCCAAATATTCATTGGTTAATTAATCACCACTACGTTATTATAGACAATTTACAAATCGCAGCAATGCAACAATTTTGTAATCGCTCTATTTTCATGTAGTCAGTTTTGTACAATTTTGGGAGAAACGGATCACTGAAGTTTTATTAAGTCTCCTCAAAAATCGCTCGCTGATTGGTCAATGCCAACCAATCAGATCGTCTGCTCGTGAAGAATAAGTTTTCCCGCACAGCGACCTGGAGCCGATAGTCACTTATATAAGCAAGAAATTTCTAACCCATTTAATGAGATTTCAGCTGCCAAACGAATCCACAACAGTTGAAACCATGCGCCAACCTTCTCACTCACACACACCACACACATGCTGAACATTCCTTATACACTCACATAATCTTTTCTTACACAGCAAAATCTTCTGAGAACAGTCATTATAAGAAACTCTCATAAACATTCTTCCAGTGAACTTTGGAATACTAAAAATACAATTAAAGAGAGATAACTCTTTTTTTCTACCATTTCTTACTTAAATGCATGTTTTACTTCACATCGTTGTTTGATATTGTACATCTTGTTAAATACATATTTTATGTGTAACAATGTCTTTTGCTTATCCTTTTCTGCGTCAGCTCTGTTTCCTAATCTAAAGTTAAATTAATGTGGTGAAGTCCGCCACATTTCATTGGTGACCCCGCCGTGATTTGGAAGGGCCACATTTCATTAGTGCCCCCGACGTGATTAGGAAAAGCCGACGTGATCACCGTCTACTATTTTATCAAAGTCCACATAAAAATTAGTTGGCTTGTATTTGTCCCGTAAAAGAATATTTCACTGCTACTCCGTTATGAAACATAAAATTTCGCCAGGGAACCTAGTAAGAGAATTGTGGGAAACATCCCGGAATCAGCATATCTACTTGGCGCGCAAAATGTTTTCGTCACCATATGCAAATACTCACGCAGCTCACCATGGCAGTCCCAGATAGTGACGGAGCTGCAGTGCTGGTCAACATTCCCGTCTTCAACACAATGAACGTTCTCGCAACTGAGCGCAGTTTTTCAAGCAAACCGTTTCTAAATCAAATGCAAGTTTTCTTTCACATCGTTGTTTGATATTGTACATCTTATTAAATACATATTCTATGTGTAACAATGTCTTTTGATTATCCTTTTCTGCGTCATCTCTGTTTCCTAATCTAAAGTTAAATTATTGTGGTGATGTCCGCCACACTATCATGGACATTTTACAGTGATCATTGAGCTAGGATGGCCAAAATTACGCATGCCCTTAGACAATTCCCCATACGGTATCTGTTTGGAATCTCTGGAGATATCCATGCACATAACATGCCTAAGCTAACTGAGAAGCCGAGCCCGCAGGAGAGGATATAGTGCCTGAATGCCATCTCTTTTGAGAATTTCTGTATCCTGGATTCAATCTTGCCATTTAAGTTTTAAAATATTTCTTAAACATCTCTGTGAGAACACCATTTAACCTCCTTTCCTGTCAACGTCTCACTCCACAGAAATATGCTCGTTACAAAATGCCTCAACATGTTGAGAAGCCACATCCAAAAATTTAACTTTTTCATAATTTTACTAGAAGGTTATGCATATAGACATATACTTGCACCAAAAGTCGAGGAACGAATGGTTATTTATTCTTAGTATAAATTTTAGTTCTAATGTTTTACATCGATTAAGGTTTATTATCACTAAGACTCACTGTAGGATATTAAAAAAAATGGACTCTTTTCTCGTTGATCGAGGACTATTTTTGATACTACTAAATCACGATGAATGGTACCAAATAACAGAAACCACATCACATGTATCAAGCTGCTCAGTTCTTAGAACCAAAATCAAGACAATCTACTCATGTCATTTGATTATAGTGGTGAAAGCTTGCGCAGAACCACCCACAGATTTTGGAAGAACCGAATACGAAGAACTGGTCACACTCTGCCACAAGGTCCTCCAATAGACACTCCCCAGCTTAAATTTAGAGATGTCTTTTTCCTCGATCGATTGTCATACGAAGCCCAGGGTAAATAGCAAGACAGAGCCAGTCTATCCTGCTATTTACACATAGCTGGGTAAAGATGAATTCCAATTCTTCCAGCATTTAAATCAAAGACAGGAACGTGACAAGAATGGTCTAAAAGATAAAAAAAAGGGATTCATCTTTCTATCAGGTCATCCCATAAGTTCTGTCCGGATTTTGAATAAAGAAAACAAGTGACCAAATGTTACATTTAATTACAGATTCAATCAACAATGCATTTTCCCTGATTATCTATGTCTTCCTTCCATCTATTAACAAGCTTACTAATTCCATTGCTGTAAAATTATTTTAGCTTTGATTCGAAGAACTCACAAATGTCAGTTTTAACCTCTTCCTGTGTTACAAAAGCTGTTTCTTCCAAATGATTCTGTAGGCTACGAAACAAATGGTAGTCTGAAGGAGCAAGATCGGGAGAATAAGGTGGATGAGGAATTTTCTCCCAACCAAGTTCTTCGATCTTTTGTGACGTGATTCTTGCTGTGTGGGGTCGCGCATTGTCTTGATGAAACATCACCTCTTTTCGATTCACTAGAGCAGGTCTTTTTTTCCTCAAAGCTTGGTTCAAATGCTCTAATCGCTGACTGTATATTTGAGCATTAATTGTTGCATTAGGTGGTACGAATTCAAAGTGGATTATTCCTTGGCGACCCCACCAGATTGAAAGAAGAACCTTTTGCCCATGAAGTTTCCTTCTCGGCTGTGGCTGGGGTCCTTCCCCTTTACCAACTCACTGTATACAGTGCTTAACATTTCGATAAAAGATCCATTTTTCGTCGCCAGTCACAAATTTATCCAAAAAAGGTGAAACAATTTGGCGAGAATGGAGTGAAGAGAAGATGTCAACCCGGAATTTGAGGTTGTTTTCAGACAATTCATGAGGCACCCATTTTCCAAGTTTAGGAACTTTTCCAAGTTATTGAAGACGATGAACAGTTATATAGTTTGAACTGAGAATCACTGCCAATTCCTCAACTGATACAACAGGATTTTCTTCAAGGGCTGCTTCAAGAAGCTTTTCATCAAACTCAACTGGACGTCCGGTTCAATCTTCATCTTCAAGGGTGAAATCTCCACCTCTGAATTTTGCAAACCATCTTCTGCAAGTTCTTTCATTCACACATTCCTCTCCATAAACTGAGTGAATGTTTCTAGTCGCTTCGGCTGCTGAGTTTCCTTTCTTGAACTCATAAATCATTGTGCCTCAAATGATTCTTGGGTACTTTCATGTTAGCAGGGTTTTGATCAAACAAAATTTAATTTTATTGTTCTCTGAAATAAAATTTGATCAGTTTAAATGCATCGAAACATAAAAATAATGTTTGGCTCTATTAGACATTATAAAATACTTTTTAAATTTCGTTCATTTTTACAGAAAGTTAAAATTCGGACAGAACTTATGGGATGACCTGATAGTTCCCTTGCTTCAAAGAAAGAACACGTCTTCACACTTGCATACTTTACAGTCGGTCTCTCACAGACGTGCCGTCGCTTCCGTCTGTCCTTTTTACAAATATTTTCACGGTAACTGCTCTAACGAGCTATTTTCACTGGTTCCCAAACTGCATGGATTTAAACGTACCACTAGGTTGGCATTTCAGTCCCACCCTTTTACTGTCGAAACTTGTTAAATATAGCCGTCTCTTTTAATCTAACAGCTTCTTATCTCGCACTTCTCGACAGTGGGACTCCTTCCCTCTTAATTGTTTCCCTGATAGCTATAATATCTAACTATTCAAATGCAATGTCAATCGACATCTCTAGATCTCTGGATCTATTCTCCATCTGTCTCTTCATCCTTTCCTCTATCACACCTCTTTACTCTTGCTCCCATTCTCTGTAACTCCTTGCGTGCTAGTTGCACTCCCGCCTTGCTTGGGGTGAAAAGCTTAAAAAAAAAAACTTGCAAAATAAATAAATAAAAAATATAAAAAAGTGGTGGGAGTTGAAGTGTTTGAGAAGAAGGTGTAGCACGCTACTAGATTGGCATCTCAGTTCAACCCTTTCACTGTTGAAAAAGTTAAATGCAGCCGTCTCTTCTATTCCAATTGCTTCATGTCTCGCACTTCTCATCTGTGGAGCTCCCTTCTTCTTACTTGCTTCCCTGAGAGCTATAACCTCTAAATATTCAAATGCAATGTCGATCGACATCTCTAGATGCCTTGATCTATTCCCCGTTCTCCTCTTCATCCTTTCAGCATATGTACATCCAAAAATTTAACTTACATCTAAGTAAGAAAAGAATGAAATAGACAAGAGTTGGCTACCATGCCTCTTTAGTATTGCTTCCACTCTCTGTAACCCCTTGCGTACTAGGGGCACTCGCGCCTTGCTTGGGGTAAAAAGTTAAAAAAGAAAACAACTCCGATACGAAATCCATATGATTATAGATTTTCTTTAATCCCCTGTGTTCTAGTCATTAGTTTCAGGCCTGACGATTGCATCTAGCATGAAACAGCCTGTCGCCTCTAAGTGTTGACTTCAATGTTCACTTTTATATTTATACTTACATACGCTCTATCTCTGATATTGAGCACTTTATCCCATAAATATAGCACACCTTAAATATATATATATATATAAATATATATATAAATATATATATATAAATATATATATATATAAATATATATATATATAAATATATATATATATAAATATATATATATAAATATATATATATATATATATATATATATATATATATATATATATATAAATATATATATATAAATATATATATAAATATATATATAAATATATTAAATATATATATTAAATATATATATAAATATATATATAAATATATAGATAGATAGATAGATAGATAGAAGAAAAAGAATATAGAAAAAAGAAATATATAAAAAAGAAAGAAAGAAAAAAAAAAGAAGAAGAAAGTATGAAAAAGAAGAAATAGGAGGAGGAAGAAAAAGTAGGAGGAAGAAGAAAAGGAAGAAGTAGGAGGAGGAAGAAAAAGAAGAAGTAGGAGGAGGAAGAAAAAGAAGAAGTAGGAGGAGGAAGAAAAAGAAGAAGACGTGCTATTGACGAACTGTCAATACTCTGAACATTGAACGAAATATGTTTCCGGTGTCCATGGCTTTTCCATTTGGGACCCGAGAACGCTTAATGGAGATATTAAGATACAATCGGCAAATTTACCATTCCGATGGAGATGTTTCACCCTGTAATTTAATCAAGAATAAAGTCATTTATTCGTTTCTTCCTCTCTATAACAGGCATTTCAATTCAGCCATATTTCTATGCAATAATATCAAGAAACATCACATGACATCAGCTCATAGGTGGAGATAAGTATAGATATACAACTATCCTTTTTGAGTGCTTACAGTAGTGTAATGTTTAACCAGCTAAACTTGAAGATGATTAACACTGTAGTGAGTTTAGGTCGCAACAAGACCTCTTCCATTATGACCTTGCACCACCGGGCAGACCCCAGACTATCACCAGTCATGATAGACAGATGTCCGCGAGAGGAGGCTCAATTCCTTGAGAGTTTATTGGGCCTCAAACTCAAACCTGACCTGAAGTGGGACTCTTAAATACGATCCATCGCTAAAGATGCAGTTAAAATGATCAGTAAATTTGCTTTTTAACGTCCAAACGCCCGCGCACTAAATATATTTTAAAAATTTCCCAAATTGTCATAATTCCGTGTAAATGTACACGCTGAACTCGAATTAACAATTAAATTATGAAAGAAAACTACTGTTTTGGAGTTATCGACAAGAAAAAAATTGGACTTCTTCTTGGTCATTCGTCTACCATTACTGCCATAATGTTCACTAAATCAGTGCTGTATACTTCCGGTGGCGGAAGTATAAATTTGGGCCTATTTACTTCCTTTACAGAAGTTCGTTTCCAAAATCAATACGCACTACCGTACCGCAATGTAAATTTTTTTTTTTTTTTTTTTGGATAAATGTAGTTTCACTTAAAATTAAAACAAACAAAAATTACAATGTAAAGAAAAGGCTAGAAAGGATTTTTTAAAAAAATAAAACAAGAAGAAAGTTAACTTTCAAATATATGAAAATATTGAGGAATTAAAGAATAACAAAATGAACAAATTAAGTAATACAGTAAACTATGTATATATAATTTTCATATATTTGAAACTTTACCTTGCTCTGTCTTAAAATAATTGTCGGATTTTTTCCATTTCACAATATATATATATATATATATATATATATATATATATATAAAGGATATAATGTCCATACAAGAATAAAATGTAACAAAACACGCAATTTTAAAAACACTATCAAACAAAAGTATATATAGTTAGCATAGATAATTATTCAAAAACACTAATATATATATATATATATATATATATATATACGTCATCCACAGACAGACTGTTTCGCTGTTTACAGCTCATCAGTGTGGATAGACATCCGGTTGCCTTTAGCATATTTATTTTTAGAAACATGCCCAGTGACTGACAGTGACTCAATTCGCTTTCGTGAAGAGTCTCGCTATATAGCTATAATAGTCACTGTTTACCAACCCACACCTCCCAGAGTGCTCAACTGAAATTAATTTCAGGAGCAGATATATATGATATATATATCAGGAGCAGATATATATATATATATATATATACAAAATACACACACTCACATATATATATACGCACACACACGTACGTACATACGCATACACACCCATACATATACAAGCGCATAAATATATAAACAAGGACATATAAAACGACCATCAATACAAACGTATATATATATATACACGCATATAACAAGTACAAATATATTCATATATACATACATACCCGCAAACACACACACATCCACACATATATATATATATACATACATACACACACACACATATATACATATACACACATACATGTACATGCAAATACATATATATATATTTATAAAAATTCACATACACATATATACATCTATCTATAAAAATATACACACTTGTGCACACACAAGCAACATAATAAATGTATACCTACATATATGTATTTAGAAGGATTAGCAGATGATATAAGTAATAACATACTAGACTTACAGTAATATTGCCTTAATAAATATTAAAAATATACTACTATTACTAATATTACTACTCCTATAGTGAGTTAAATTTTGAGCTATGTTCACAGTTAACAGTGAGTTCATTTCTTTGATTTAAAAGATGGGTCATGTCTTTAAAGCTAATAATTTCAAATTTTTCTTTAAGACATAAAGAACAAGGGCCATATACAGAATTACATGTTTGAGCTCTCTTAATTAATTTCCATTTAACAGTTGTTCTATAAACTCCAAAAATACTTGAACAACGAAGTCTTGTATTTATGATTACTACTGTTGAAAGATTGCCCATGTCCCCGCTAACGTTCTTTGAATGTATTCATAGTACTTCCAATATATATTTTTTTTAATATTAAGGTCCTCTAGTGTAGAAGTTGTATTCAGATAAACTAGAGAACTAGTTAAAAATTTATTTTGAAAAGGACAATTATTCGGATTCCTAAAATTGTACAAGTTATTATTAGTGTCATTATACTTACTTTTACGCATTGCAACATGGCGATTAGTCAAGTTGTTTGAGTTCTTACACTTGTTGAAGACTCTCTTATTATGTTTCTTAATTCTTTTTCCCAGGTTAGCAGCACAACTGTGGCTTATATTCAATTATAATACCCTTAAATTAAGAATTAAAAATAAGAAATGGAAGGTGTAAAGATCTTAAAATGCACATCAAGATGAAAACATCCCCAAATTCGTGCAGACATGGGCTGACCTTGACATAAATTTGGCAAATTTAAGAAATAACATTACTTGCAAGCTGGTAAGAAAAATTAAAATAAAAAAGATTTTTTTTTAATTTTAAAATAGAAATATTATAGAAAAAAAAAATTAAAAGAAGAAATACAATAAAATAAAAAAAAACATATAAAAAGCCAATTCAGAAGGAATCAAAAAATTATTAACAAATAACGCCTACAACAACGCCTGATAATTATGCACCAACCTAATATATATATATATATATATATATATATATATTTGGACATTTGGGTCACTAACACACAAAAATGAGAATGTCTCATATCGAGAATATTTAACATCGAAAAATATACGACAAACATTATTTTTAATATGTGTAAATCCCACACTTTGCTAGATGACGGTCGCGAGACCGGAAACCCGTATATCAAAATTATGGAAAATGAAGCATAATATTTTTAAATAAAAAAAAAGTTAAATCCACATTACAACCAAAAAAGTTTGCGGTTTCTCTCTTCTTTTTAATATACACACTTTTCTCTCGTTGAACTACTATAACCTCTTCCTTTTTATATATATATATATATATATATATATATATATATATATATATATATATAAAAAATGTGTTTATATAAATATAAATATATATATAATTATTTATATATTATATGCGCGGTATTTATTAGAAAGCGCTCAATATCAGAGGTAGAGCTAACATATTTGCTGGATTGATGTAAGTTTGTGACCTTGTGTTTCACGCTTTTGCGATCGTCAGTAACCAAATATATATATATATATATATATATATATATATATAGTTAAACCTAGAGAACCAGATAAATCTACCAAGGTTTCACCTAAGCGGATCGTCAGGAAAGGCTGGCTTCCCTGATGATCCGCTTAGGTGAAACCTTGGTAGGTTTGTCTGGCTCTCTAGGTTTAATTAGGTCTGGTCTACTTACTGTGTTGAGCACTTTATTTAGTTATTTTGCTTACTCGTATCGTTTTTTTTTTCTTTGGGCTTTGGACTTGCATGCTAGACGATTATTTTTGGCTAACGTACATGTTCTTGGTTCTTTCTTTTTTATATACCTTTTTTGTCCCCTTTGGTATTGGTTTGATTATTTGCAAATCAAGACACCGAAGTTTTCCGAATGAGTATAGTTTTTTATACTCATAAGAGTTATATTAATAATATATATATATATATATATATATATATATATATATATATATATATATAATTATTTATTTAAAATATGATTTCAACACGCTACATAAGAGGTCTCATGTTTCAAAAACAAGAGCCGAAAACTTCAATATAATTATTTGAATTAAATTGAATTAAAGTAAGCTCTGTTCCATCTTCAAAGCGAAATTTTTCTTGGAATCCAAGAAAAATATCGCTCTTGTTTTGAAACATGAGAAATCTTATGTAGCGTGTTGGAATCATATTTTAAATAAATAATTATATTTATGCTCTACTTTTTGTATCGAGCACTATTTTTTAAAAATAATAGCAAAAATACTAAAGAACTTTGGATTATTTACCTAACAAGTTTTTTCCTATATTTTATATATTTTCACACACACACACACACACACACACACACACACACACATATATATATATATATATAAAACTCGCATTTTCATTAATTTTCTTACACTAGGGAGGAAGATACACTGAGCACACTTGCATTTTAGCACTGAATGTGTTCAATCTGTTCTACTTTAGGAAATATTTCGGTTTTTTTTTTGGTTTTTTTATCACAACCGACTGTTTTTAACACTTCACTACCCCTTCCCAAGTCAGCTTGGGTCATAACCTGCCCTAATCACCGGAATATTTCTGACGCTAGGGAACTAAACTAAATTTAGATATATCCTGGTTTAAAGAATTAATAATGCTTTCTGCGAAAAGCTGTTTAATCAAAATAAATAAATAAATAAATAAAAATTAAAAAAATAAAACAATACTTTCAAAAACTATATTACTAACTTGAAGTTTTGCAGATGTCATCAGGCGTTTGTTACGTTCACTTTCGCATAAATAATCTTGAATTATATGAAACCATCTTATCTTTTTCCCGCTATGGGTTAAATAACAGCGCTCGCTTGCTCTGACTTTGTAAACAGTCTAATATAAGAAAACATTCTGATTTCAAATTCAATCGGAAGGGAAATTAGCTCCGTCAAGGCATTCTTTTTATATTTTTTTCTAATCGAGTTGACCCCAATCAAGAGAGTAAAGCCACTAAGACACAAGGGGTTACTGAGTGTGGAAGAATTATTATAACAGCAACATTAATAATGATACAAATTTTATGTTCAGTTTAGATGAATTCATGATAATGATAGGTTTCATTAATTTACTGTTCGACCGGCTAGATCCAGCCGTAAGTTCTATGCTAAGAGTTTCTTCTCTCGCACTTCTCGCTTGTGGAACTCCCTTCCGTCTCCATGCTTTCCAGTCAACTTTAATCTTCAAATATTTAAATGCAATGTCAATCGCTATCTACAGTCCTCCTGATTACTCTTTCCTCTTCCCGCTCATTATTAATGTTTCTGTTCCTAATTCTTCCACACCCAGTAACCCCTTGTGTCTTAGTGGCTTTATTGCCTTGCTTGTGGAACCTTCCGCCTCCATGCCTCCAATCTTCAAATTTTAAATACAATGCCAATCTTTAATCTTCATTAAATGTTTCTGTTCCAATTTAAATAGTAATGTCTTAATCGCTATCTACCGTCCTCCAATGATTATCTACTTTCCTCTTCCCGCTCATTATTAATGTTTCTGTTCCTAATTCTTCCACACCCAGTAACCCCTTGTGTCTTAGTGGCTTTATTGCCTTGCTTGTGGAACTCCCTTCCGCCTCCATGCTTTCCAGCCAACTTTAATCTTCAAATATTTAAATACAATGCCAATCGCTATCTACCGTCCTCCTGATTACTCTTTCCTCTTCCCGCTCATTATTAATGTTTCTGTTCCTAATTCTTCCACACCCAGTAATCCCTTATTTGCATCTCTTACTTCTGAAGCAATAAAAAATGGAATCAATACAAAACAAAATAATAATAAAAAAATGAATATAAAACTCGACATGATAGCGTGGTGCAATATCTGCAATGGAAAATATCCAACTTTTACGTGAAGGAAACTGCAAGACATTTGTATGAACATCACCCAGACTCAGTTACAAAGATAGGATCTGTAACAATTTTATGGGACTTAACAATACAAACAGACAAAAAAAAAATCAAAGCTAATCACCGAGACATCGTGATCAAAGACCACAAGAATAGAATGTGCTTTCTTTTGACATTGCAATCACTGCAGATTTTCATGTGTCTTGGAAGATCTTAAAAAAACAATCAAATTACAAGTCATCTTGAAGAGGGTATCTCAAAACTGTGGCACATGAGGACATCATTAATTCCAGTTGTAATTGGAGCACTCGGGTTGATTGGAAAAGTTTCCGATAGTTTCATGCCTTAAAGAAATAATAAAAAAAAAAGATTGTACCCACAAGTACAGCTCACATATTTCGATGGCCGTCCTGGGTATGACGATAAACTACATCCACGTCCTGGGTATGACGATAAACTACATCCGCATCTTGGGTAAGACGATAAACTACATCTGCGTCCTGGGTATGACGATAAACTACATCCGCATCTTGGGTAAGACGATAAACTACATCTGCGTCCTGGGTATGACGATAAACTACACCCGCGTCCAGGGTAAGACAATAAACTGCATCCGCTTCCTGGGTATGGCGATAAACTACACCCACGTCCAGGGTATGACGATAAGCTACATCCGCGTCCTGGGTATGACGATAAACTACATCAGCGTCCTGGGTATGACGATAAACTACACCCACGTTCTGGCTATGACGATAAACTATATCCGCGTCCTGGGTATGACGATAAACTACATTTGCGTAAGACGAAAAACTACGTCCAACAGCAAGGTCTCTGATCATGAGGTTTCGCAGAGCATGGAACCTCCTTTTAAGTGCTGGTGTTCCCAGGTCCACCCTGACCCGGTGTGGTAGCACCTGTTAGAGTCCCAGCTATGAACAAATATTTGACTCCCAAACTAGCGTCAACATTCTATGAAAGTGTAAAAATAGGTTTTAATATCAGAAATACTTTGTAAAAAATTATTACCAGCAATAAATTTTTGAAGAAAAATTATTAACAGTAAAACATTATTACTAGCAATACATTTTTGAAAAAATATATCACCAGTAATACATTTTTGATAAATATATATTATCAGCAATATATTTCTGAAAAAAAATATTATCAGTAAAATATTTTTTGAAAAAAAATTACCACCAATACATTTTCGAAAAAATATTGCCAGAAATAAAAATCTTGTCGGCATTAAATAACCCAGTGAAGATGATATGCCGTAAAACAAAACAAACCAAATCAATAGATAGATAGATAGATAGATAGATAGATAGATAGATAGATAGATAGATAGATAGATAATGAACGGATTGAGATAGATAGATAGATAGATAGATAGATAGATAGATAGATAGATAGATATTACCAGCAATAAAAATCTTGTCGACATTAAATAACCCATTGAAGTTGATATACCGTAAAACAAAACAAACCAAATCAATAGATAGATAGATAGATAGATAGATAGATAGATAGATAAAAAAATATTACCAGCAATAAAAATCTTGTCGACATTAAATAACCCATTGAAGTTGATCTACCGTAAAACAAAACAAACCAAATCAATAGATAGATAGATAGATAGATAGATAATGAACGGATTGAGATAGATAGATAGATAGATAGATAGATAGATAGATATTACCAGCAATAAAAATCTTGTCGACATTAAATAACCCATTGAAGATGATATGCCGTAAAACAAAACAAACCAAATCAATATCTACTTAGATAGATAAAAAAAATATTACCTGTAATAAAAATCTTATCGGTATTAAATAACCCATTGAGTTTGATATGCCGTAAAACAAAACAAACCAAAGCAAACAAACATTACGATGGCCTTCATCTATGTAAAATGTGTGTAATCTTAGTTGGGTTTTTTCCCCTAAAATAATTGTTTTAATAGAAAGTGTTGATGAACCAACAGAAAAACTGGCCGCTCGATCAATGAATGTCAAATGATTTTTTTTTTTTTCTTAGAATGGCTCCTATTACCTTTAGCATTAACGCCCCATTTTAAGAATTTTCTATCGCTGTCTACCCTCCTTTAATTATCAAACCAGACGCAAAACGTCAGCTGATACTTTGAAAAAAAAAAAAAAAAAAAAAATGAAACGTTAAAATAAACAAATTACGACTGCCAAGGAAGACGAAAAAATATAAAGGCTGAAGTTTGAAACTTGTCGAGGGAGGTGATATTTACCTTGGCAAGAATAAACAGATTGATAAAAAAAAATCTAGTGTAGTCAACACACCTGTGCACATATATTCCGTTCTCCGCAAGACGTTTTCTTATGAGTTAGCAGTCATAAGTAAGATTCTCACTGGGTGGCCCACTATAGTGATCACGTGACAAGAGAAGCTAACTCAAGAATGCCCCACGTTCCCAAGAACGACACGGTAAGCATGAACAGGTAAAAGGTAGAAACACAATTAACATCGTTTTTTTTTCTATAAGCCTATAATTAATACCAGATGTTTTAATATAGCATTTTTCCTATAATTAATATAGAATTTTTAGGAAATTTTAATTAATATTGGATTTTTATAAATGTATAATTATTTACGAATTTTTGGAAACATTACATTTATATCGGATTTTTTATAAACCAATAATTAATAGCAGATTTTTAATATTGCATTTTTAAACCTATAATTAATACAGATTTTTAGAAAATTTTAATTAATATTGGATTTTTTTTAAATGTATAACTATTTACGAATTTTTGGAAACATTAAACTTATATCGAATTTTTTATAAACCTATAATTAACAACAGATTTTTTAATATTGAATTATTTTAAACCAATAATTAATGTGCAATTTTTTAGAAATTTTAATATTGGATTTTTTATAAGTGTATAATTATTTCCGGATTTTTGGAAACATTGAATTTATATCGGATTTTTTTTAAACCTATAATTAATAACAGATTCTTTATTAATGCATTTTTTAAACCAATAATTAATATGCAATTTTTAAGAAATTTTAACATTGGATTTTTTATAAGTGTATAATTATTTCCGGATTTTTGGAAATATTAAATTTATATGGGATTTTTTATAAACCTATAATTAATAACAGATTTTTTAATATTGCATTTTTTTAAAACCAATAATTAATATGCAATTTTTAAGAAATTTTAATATTGGATTTTTTATAAGTGTACAATTACTTCCGGATTTTTGGAAACATTAAATTCATATGGGATTTTTTATAAACCTATAATTGATAACAGATTTTTTAATATTGACTTTTTCTAAACCAATAATTAATATGAAATTTTTAAGAAATTTTAATATTGGATTTTTTATAAGTGTATAATTATTTCCTGATTTTTGAAAACATTAAATTTATATCGGATTTTTTATAAACCTATAATTAACACCAATTTTTTTTTTTATTTGATTTTTTATATGTTATCGAATTTTTAGAAAAATTGTTATTAATATTGGATTTTTTTACAAATGTATAATAAGTCTCGGATTTTTTTGAAAAATGTAATTAATAAATGATTTTTATGAACAATATGTATTAATATTGGCCTTTAAAAGCAGAACTTGTTTTTTTTTATAATAAATCCCCCCCACCTTCACCAGCAAGTCGAAATTGTTACTAAGACTCAAGCGGCTTCTGGAAACCACCTGTTCAAAAACACGGGGAGGTGTATGAGTCGGGCGGTAGGCGAACTTATCTACTCCTAATAAAGGAAAAAAAAATAATAAAATAAAATTTCAGTTTATCCAGAGAGGTTAGAGGTATAGATATACATTAGGCGTTAAAAGAATGCAGAAACTCAATCCTAAACAAGAAACATGAGATAAACCTCGACACCTTTTCAAAAACCGGGAAGGAGTCATAACCGGGCGATAGGCGAACCTATCTAATTAAATCTGGGTTTTTAGAAACATTTCGTGAATAACTAATATCATATTTTTATTTACATTTATTCACAAGCAGACTATTATCCTCATAAATCATATATCTTTTTTTTTTATCATGTCACTATGACGTAGGGCTTTAATGAATGTCAAAGAAAAAAAGAAGACATTATTAATGAGCGAGAACAATAAAAGAACAAGAATTAAAACGTCAGAAGATAACGATTGACATTGCATTTAAGTTTTTGAAGATCAAAGGCAATAAAGCCACTACGACGCAAGGGAGTTAATGAGTGTTAGAGAATGAGAAAAACTACTATTAAGGAGAGAAGACAATAAAAGAACAAGAATTAAGAAGACAGAAGATAACGATTGACATTGCATTTAAATATTTGAAGATCAAGGGCAATAAAGCCACTACGACGCAAGAGGTTACTGAGTGTTAGAGAATATGAGAAAAACTACTATTAAGGAGAGAAAACAATAAAAGAACAAGAATTAAGAAGACAGAAGATAACGATTGACATTGCATTTAAATTTTTGAAGATCAAAGGCAATAAAGCCACTACGACGCAAGGGAGTTAATGAGTGTTAGAGAATATGAGAAAAACTACTATTAAGGAGAGAAGACAATAAAAGAACAAGAATTAAAAAGTCAGAAGATAACGATTGACATTGCATTTAAATTTTTGAAGATCAAAGGCGATAAAGGCACTACGACGCAAGAGGTTACTGAGTGTTAGAGAATGAGAAAAACTAGTATTACGGAGAGAAGACAATAAAAGAACAAGAATTAAAAAGTCAGAAGATAACAATTGACATTGCATTTAAATTTTTGAAGAACAAAGGGAATAAAGCCACTCGGATGGAAGGGGGTTACTGAATGTTAGAGATTATGAGAAAAACTACTATTAAGGAGAGAAAACAATAAAAGAACAAGAATCAAGAAGACATAAGATAACGATTCACATCGCATTTAAATTTTTGAAGATCAAAATTTACTCGAAAGCAAGAAACTGGAAGAAAGTTCCAGTGAAGAACCTGTTAGCATAGAACTTCCGGTTACATCTAGATATTCCAACTGTAAAATGATGAGACCTAACTTACAATCTAGTACTGTGCTTACATTCATGAATCTAGTTACCATAGAAGAAAGTAATATTTATTTTGTGCATAATATTTATTTTGCATATAATGCAAAAATGTGGCACAAGGCCAAGAAGGCGGCGAAGAAAGGCGCTCTTCATCTGTCTTATTATTAAACTTAGCTAACCACAATTACTGACACAAAACACTAAATCAAACACATTCTTACTTACCATTTATCTACAGCCAACCGAATACTTCAGAGCCTCCATGTAATCCTAACTTGTCTCCATATGTACAGTTTGTTTGGCGGTGGGCAATAAAAATTACATTTAAAAATGAAACCCCAATCAATATTTACAATGGTTACAATTTTTATACAAGAAAGTAAACTAAGTAGCGTTACCATAGAGACAAGTAATATTTATTTTGCGTAATACAAAAAAATATGGCAAAAAGCCAAAACGGGGGTGAGGTAAGGGGTGGTTTTCAATTTATCTTATCTTAAACTTAGCTAGCACTAATCACTGACGTAAACATACTACAGTATTAGTTACACTAAAACAACATATTCTTACTTATTTCTTATTACAGTCACCATAATACCACAGAATCTCTATAACGACCTAACTTGTTCCCATATGTAAAATTTGTTTTTGGAGATGGGGAATAAAAACAACTTTTGAAAATGAAACTCCGATGAATATTTACAATGACAATTTTTAGACAAAAAACCAAAGCCAAGACAGTCACTATAAAAGAAAGTTCGCGAGAGCAATTACCATGAAAGTATTTTAAGAAAATACAAGAAAAATATTTCTATAATAGTAATTTTAAAAAAAATGTATATTAATATCAGATTTGTATGAATACTGGATTTTTAAGAACCTAAAATTAGTACATGAATTTTATAATTATTTTTATTGTAGCAACCAATTTTAGGGTGGATTAAAAAGACGGGAACGAGATACACACTAGGTGCCCCAATGCAGTGGCAATTCATCGTTTCATTGGTTGATTTACTCTTTACGGTTTATCAACCTCTTGCAGAAAATATTTTGGGATTGTAAGAAATTTTTGGGAGATAATAATGATTTACTGATAGAAGTTTTGCTAATTAACCCATAGCTGTGGGAAGAGGAGGTGGATTCATACCTTTCCTAAGTCTATATACGCGTCTGTGAATTAAACGAACCCGTCCTGAACTGGAAATCGGCCCTTCGATTTCCAATTCTACCACTCGCGCACCCAAGCATACAGGACCTTGTATTGCCAAGCAGTCATCTATCTTGGTACTGATCTGGCACAACGTTGCTTAACTTTCCCGGTGATCGCAGGGGAACAGGTGTTTCAACGTGATACGGCCGTAAGCCTATTTGTCAGGTTAACATAATTTTTTTAAAAAGCGATTCTATCAGACAAAACGTGTTAGATTTATCTTCCCAGTTTGACATCCCCTGCTGTCTGCAGTCAGACTAAGAAGTTTTTTAGTCAATAACTTGTTCCCCACCCCTGCAACTGTCCTATATTCTAGGAACCAGTCTGTTACTAATTATTTTATTTTATTTCCGTCTCATAACAACAAAGAAATTTATTTTCATTCGAAGATTAATTCTTCATTCACGTCATTTTTTTAACGTTTGTTTTGGTTTCTTTGTTTTGCTAGGTAGACAACGTATACACACACACACACACACATATATATATATATATATGTATATATATATATATGTATATATATATATGTATATATAAATATATATATTTAAGACATTTTTATGTTTATACATTCTTTTTATAGATACAAATATTTAAGTAAATGCTCTGTTTATAACAGTATTAACAACATTTACCGGCCTGAATGTCCGAGAAATTTTCATAAAAAATATAGGTCCCCTGACAGGAATCGAACCTGTATCCTAAACAGAATCGTCATATAGCCCGTGGGACATTGAGCCACAGAGGAGCGTAGATTTTACCGTTTTTAAACTACAATTCTCCATGATTTTTCACACACACTCACACTCACACACACACACACACACACACACACACACACACACACACATATATATATATATATATATATATATATTAGCATATTTTCATTCAAGCGAAAACTTAAAATTCTGAAAGCACTTTATATAAGAGTATTGTGGCCAAAAATAAATCGATCCAACTATGAGTATAACAACAATGTCCTTAAATGTTTGTAGCAGTAAAATATCATTAGCCTGATGTGCTTTTACCGATTTGGCCACAGAGGAGCGTTTCAGTTAGCAAGGTCGATTTTACTGTTTTTAAACTACATTTTTTCATGATTTTCTCACGTACATTCATATCAGCTCGATGCGTATGCAAATGTAATCAATTAACGTCACACATTATGAAATGGTCTAAGTCCGACAATTATTTTTTATGTTTATATATTCTTTTTATAGATACAAATATTTAAGTAAATGCTCTGTTTATAATAAACACTATTAAACAACATTTACCGGCCTGAATGTCCGAGAAATTTCCACAGAAAATATTCGTCCTCTGACAGGAATCTAACCTGTATCCTATACGGAACCGTCATATAGCCTGACGTGCCTTAACCGATTGGGCCACAGAGGAGCGTTCGGTTAGCAAGGTCGATTTTACTGTCTTTAAACTACAATCTTCCATGATTCTCTCACGTACATTCATATGTGCTCATGGCGTATCCTAATGTAAACACACATTATTATTTATTATAAACAGAGCATTTACTTAAATATTTGTATGTAGAGTGTTCTAGTTCCACGTGCCATGTCTAATGGATGTCAGTTATCTCCTGTTAATTCCCCTCTCCAAGTTCTCCATTGCCCTAACCAGGTACTGAACTCACACTCTTTCGGTCCTGTCACTGGATCTAACTAACGCCTTTATCCACTTCGCCATGAGTCCCTGAGGACGATACCCGGTTAAGGCAGTGGAGAAATTGGAGAGGAGAATTAACATGAGATAACTGACAACTGACACCCATTAAACATGGCAGGTGGGACTAGAACAGTGTACCCCAGTGAGCGAAATAAAGGGTTCAGTTCAACATTCCAACCACCTGAAGAAGGCCGGAGCGTACAAAGGCCGAAATGTTGTAATAAATATGGCGACAAAGATGAGGACAATAGTCCGAATAATGTAAATAGTGTACCTAATACCTCATCTCAGAAATATAGACAGATACTGAAGGGCCGGAACGTTGTAATAAATATGGTGACAAAGATGAGGACAATAGTCCGAATAATGTAAATAGTGTACATAATACCTCATCTCAGAAATATAGACAGATAGTGAAAGGCCGAAACGTTGTAATAAATATGGCGACCAAGATGAGGACAATAGTCCGAATAATGTAAATAGTGTACAATGGAGTTAGTTCGATTCAATGACATGCAGCTATTTGTAAATAGCAGGAAAGACTGGGCCCTATAGCCTTCGGTGCCAACCGTTCTAGCAGGAAAAATCTGAATTTAAAACCTGAAAAAGTATCCTTTGAAGTACCTTGTGTCATACTACATGCACCAGTTCTCTGTATTCGAAGGGTGTGGTGGTGCACAAGCCTTTAGGACAATTATCAATGATCACTTATCGGGAAGTCTGGCTCTTGCTTCTAAGTAATCAGCTACTGGACGTTGGGAAACAATATATAAACAGATTATTACTGCCACACCAGGATAAAATTAACAAAGGGATCATATTTTATTCATAAAAAAGGACACGAATGTATCACAGCTATTAAAATTTTAGGTACATTTTGGGCGACACATCTTCAGAAAAAATAACATCGTCTGCAAGTAAATCTAAGTGGTTGAAAAAAATATTTTCAACAACTGGTGTTAAAATATGCCAAAAATTGGGAGAGAGAGAAAAACCCATCGTCCTTCATATATATATATATATATATATATATATATATATATATATATATATATATATATATCATCATGGCTGGTTTATTCTTGATGTTATCGGGGTGGAGTGGGGGCGTCATCGTTGGAAAGTGGCTGAAAACTATACCACGAGTTGTCCCAAGCCCTGTTAGCACGAAGTCACAAGTCATCGTGACCGAGGTTTTGAGTGTGCTGGCCTTGTACAGATTGTTGATCACGCTAGATAACACGCTCTTTCCCAGAAACTGTAACTAAGGTCTGCTCAGCATAGTTGCAGTATAAACCACGGGTTGGCTCTGTGGGTGTTGGACATACACAAATGTGCCCGAGTAGGTGTCTGCAATAGGGATTGGCAATCTGCCGTAATAGACGGGTATCCACGAATACGAGTAGCCAGTTATTATATATATATATATATATATATATATATATATATATATATATATATATTGTAGAGATCATTGTTTGGACATGTATTACTAAGTATAACAGCCAAAGAATATGTATTATGTTTCATCAGGAGCCGTTGCAAGCCTCGTATGTTGGCTTTAATTTTAGGAGAAAATGAAAACAGAATCTTTCCAAAGATTTACTGGAATAATGAGAAATGCCTTCCAAATGCTAAGGAAAGTATTAAGAAACAGAAAAAAAAGACTTCGCTAAAAACAAAGAACATGCTACTGGAATGTAAAAGAATGTTAGTTTTCCTATATGGCAGTGACTGCTAGACAAATCTCCTAGCAGGTGAAGAGGAAACTTGAAGCAACAGAAATGCTGTTCTACAGAAGGATGATGAGAATACAATGGGCCGAGCAACGATGCATTGATTTTACTATAGGAGAGCATTGCAAATGAATAGAAAAATGATTGTCAGTAGTCAGGAATGAATGCAAGCATTACTGATAGAATGGGGCTATTATATGTATAATGGAAATGCATTGCTAATGATTTTACTATAGGAATGCATTGCAAATGAGGAAGAAAGGGATTGTCAATGGTCAGGAATAAAGGCAAGTGTTATTGATAGAATAGGGCTATTATATGTATAATGAAAATGCATTGCTAATGATTTTACTATAGGAATGCATTGCAAATGAGGAAGAAAGGGATTGTCAGTGGTCAGGAATGAATGCAAGCATTACTGATAGAATGGGGCTATTATATGTATAATGGAAATGCATTGCTAATGATTTTACTATAGGAATGCATTGCAAATGAGGAAGAAAGGGATTGTCAGAGGTCAGGAATGAATGCAAGCATTACTGATAGAATAGGGCTATTATATGTATAATGAAAATGCATTGCTAATGATTTTACTATAGGAATGCATTGTAAATGAGGAAGAAAGGGATTGTCAGTGGTCAGGAATGAATGCAAGCATTACTGACAGAATAGGGCTATTATATGTATAATGGAAATGCTTTGCTATTTTATTATAGGAATGCATTGCATATGAGGAAGAAAGGGATTGTCAGTGGTCAGGAATGAATGCAGCCGCTACAAAATCGGTTTCCTTTGTGTATATATAATATACATTTTTGAAAATCTATTCTGCAAAGGGAATTACTTTTCTTTAATTTTTCTTCGGAAATATCTTTGTTATTTAAACATTTCTTTTTTTTTTTTTACTTCCTTATCTCTATTCTCTCTCTCTCCCTCTCATTCCCTCTGTCTTTTTAATATCTCTTTCTCTCATCCCTCCATCTCTACCTCTCCCTCTGTCTCACTCTTTCAATTTTTTTTCATCAGTTTTTCATTCTTTTTTTTTAAGAAATTGTTACATACTTCGTTCTTTGCTTGTTCTCCTTGGATTTATTCATACAATGCCATTACCTTCTGTCTTTCAAAATAGTTCCTCGTTTTTTTTTTATCTCATCACACTAATTAATAATTCTCGCACCTTTAAACGAAAAAAAAAAACCTTCGCTAGATTTCAGTTTTCCTGCGTTCGTTGTGCACAGAAAGAATCATCGCCTTGAAGTGATTAAACGAATTCATCTCACTTGCTGGCGGCGATGTTCCGCTAAGCACCCAACATTCTTATTTCGAAAGATCAACCCTGGTTTCATAATTGGATTAAAAAAAAATGTTCTTGCTTAATACATTGTTAAAGAATATGAAATATGAGAGAAATTCTTTTTGTGTGACAACAAGAAATCTTTTTAGTTGACTTAGCTATGCACTGAGAAGTAGCCATTAAAGAATTTCACCTGTTGAAGAACAGTATCTTTATCATTGTTGTTTTGATTGCAGTTTTAAAAGGCTTTGCCATCCGCCTGTTTGTTTATTCGTTTTTTTTCTTTTTCTTTATTGACTTTTTCTTTATTTTCTATTCAAGTTTTTTATCTTCTTCTTCTTCTTCTTCTTCTTCTTCTTCTTCTTCTTCTTCTTCTTCTTCTTCCCCCTCCTCCTCTTTTTCATTATTTTCTTATATCTTGAGTTTCATGTTTGTG